AAATATTGGCACCTTCTCCGGTACATTAACATATTGATAAGTTAAGTTTTCTATCTATCAGATCCAATAGTTAAAAAACTTGACCTACTGGTATGTCAGGCGTACTAGAGAATCTCTCAAAAATATGTCCTAGAGTCATATTTGACACGTAAAAGAATGGGCAAATATGGAAAATTTTGTACCCAAAAGGGCCAAAACAGAAAACAAAGTAAGAAATATATGTATCATCGTATTCTTTTAGGGGTCTATTATCTATTAATTGAGTGGAATCTCTCTGCATTTACTAATTAATCTTTAACCTGAGAAATTTAGCTTCAAAAAGATGACTTTTTTTGACAATTTTTGCAAAACAGAATGCACGTAAAATATAAGAGTCTATTTGGTATATGGGTTCAAATCAGGGTTTTTGATTATGACTTTTAAAATTTAAATTTTTTATGAGAGAAAAACAATATAACAAAATTAAAATCATGTGTTTGTACTATAGCAGAACTCATATACCAAATATACACTAAATGTATTAATTGCCTTGCTGCCTCAAAGCACAATACGTGAACACTAAGTAAAAAAGTTTTTTTTTTTTTTTTTTTTGTAGTAAAAATGTTTGACTTTCATTTTCATTATTTTTCAATTCCTTCTAATTCCCATTTCAATCTTTATTTAACTAAAAATTAATATGTGTTTGATAATCATCATAAATCTCTTACGTGTTACACATAAACGTGTAAATAACTACTCTTTTGAGCTCCTTAATAAATAAATAAAGCAAAATGAAACTAGATCCTGTATCCGGTAAATTTAAATCGAACTAAACTAGTGTAAAACCTATTATTTTTGACTTAGGTCCAGCCCACATAAAGGCTCGGGCCAGGGTCCCCCTTTTTATTTTCATTTTTAAAAATTTAGCGGATCCTACCCATTCTTAGTTTGTCAAGCTTTAGGGTCATGCTGGACTAATGGGCCTGTTTGTTTGTATTTTTATTTTTATTTTTCACGGTTTTTAAAGTAAAAAAAATGAAAATGGGTGTTAAAAACGTGTTTGATGTAAATTTTTTTAAAAAACAAAACCAAAAACATTTTTGTCTTTTTGTGGAAATCAGAAAACGAAAAAAAGGTGTTTTCATTTTCTCGTTTTCATTTTCTGTTTTCTGAAAATG